TTATGTATGTAATTGTTGCTACTTAGGAGGTTTGGATCTATGAGTTGTAGTTTGAAGTCAGCGTGGCAGGAAAGTCTGTGAGACTTTTATCTCGAATTAACCACCAAAAAGCCAGAAATGGAGCTGTGGCTCAAGTTGGTAACGTGTGAGCCATGAGCATTAAAGATCAGGGCCAGTGCCCAAGCTGAGTTCCAGCTCCAAGAACAACACACACACATACACACACACACACACACATACACACACACACACACACACACACAAATAAACAAGTCTAAATAAATAAATAATTAAATTGTGTTCTTTTGCTTGCCGTGTGGTATTTCTATTATAATTAATGATGTACCCTAAAAGAAAGAAATAAAATTAAGACCAAGTCATGTACCTGTGGTTCTAAATAGCATGTCACCATAGTATTTTCATGACTGCCTAAGTGAAAATATCACTAATAAAAATAGATCCTGTTATATGAATATAAATGGTAACATCTTTGGTGCCAGGAAGTTAATGCTTTTTTAACTATTAAAGTCATAAATACATCACCATGATAAATCAAATCTATCATGATCAGTGAGAAAGTCTCTTATTTCCTAAGAACTTTGTAAATTACAATAAATGAATGAATATGTGCATAAACAATATTTTACTTTATTAAAATACTTCCTTTACTGAATATGTTCAATATTGAGATTGATGCACTGAGAAGTATTTGAGCATTAAGAAGGTAAAAATAATTGTGGAAGGAATTCACTCTGAACTGTGTATAAGTGGCTCATGCATATAATGTCTTTTAGCAATCTAAAAAGCTTTAGACCTTGGAGAAGAAAGACTCCTCTACAAGTGGAAAGGAAGCCAGGGACTAAAAAACAAGGAGTTTATTTGAATGACACACAGATACATAGGTATACACACACACACACACACACACAAAGTTAGTTATTTGATTCCAGAAATTTCTCTTTAATACAGAATCAAGTCAAAAGGGAGCCATAAGAATAATTTTAAATAGAAGCCCCATTTCTGTACATATACAGTATGTTTTAAGAATAACGTTGAGATTAGAGTATAAAGAGGAGGACTGTCCTTCAAAGGAAAAAAGAAAAGAAAAGAAATGATCTACTGATAGGTTGGAATTTGTAAAATTGCAGAGTGGCTTTTTTCACAAAGATATTGGAGATTTAGGAGACAAGTGTAAAAATGGAAGCAGAGAAAACAAGGCCATCATGACAGAGAGCAGTTAGAGATATTGTACTATTCATGGCTTGGTTCAGCAATGAACCAACACAGTAATGAAAATGCTAATGCTTAACCACAACCTACCATCCATGGAGACAACAGGAATGGAAAGTAGGAATCTAAGAGAATCACACTGTCAGTACTATATGTGAAAGTTAGTACTATCTAAAGGCAATGACTTCAAAGACAGTAATGTTTCCATTCTTTTGAGATTGAACACAGATATCAAAAAAGTAGGAAAATATTGAAAGGAATCTGTTCAGAGTATCAGAAGGTGAGGAAAACTGTAAGTAGACAGAGCACAAGGTTTGTCGATAACTTTGTTATGTCTTTCCTTACTACAGTTTGACCTTTTAATTTTGATTAAAGTTGAAAATTGATTTTAAAAGAAAGAAGTCTTAGCTGGGCACTGGTGGCTCATGCCTATAATCCTAGCTATTCAGGAGGCTGAGATCTGAGGATCACAGTTCAAATCCAGCCTGGGCAGGAAAGTCCGTGAAACTCTTATCTCCAATAAACCACTAGAAAACCAGAAGTGGCGCTGTGGCTCAAGCGGTAAGAGCGCTAGCCTTGAGCTGACGAGAGCAAGGACAGTGTCCAAGTCCAGAGTAAAAGACCCATAACTGACCAAAAAGAAAAAAGAACAGAAAAGAACGAAGTCTTAAGATACTATAGATGTTTGTTCTGTGATTCATTATTTTCTACCATACCATATTTACATCTAACTTTCTGAGTCTCTCGTTTAGATATGTGATTTCAGCTCTCTTCTTATAAAACTAATTAATGTTTTATATCTATAAACCAAGACTGTATCCTCAGATTTTGAGCAGTATTGGAATTTTCTTCTCAAACACAAAAGACTTGCATAATACTGAAATGTTCAGTTAAGGAGGAAACAAAGCATATATACATTTATTTATTTGATATATATATATTTAATATAAAATGAATTACAGAAACATAAAATGAATTACAAAGTATCAATTGTCAAGACCTCTGTTTGGAGGAAGCAAATTTAAATAACTTTCAGCTTTTCATGTGTAAATAGTATACCTCCAATTTCTTACAGTAATAAGAACTTTTATTTTCCTGTAAAAGCACAACCATTTCATAGAAGACTTATGTGAGACCAATAGTTAGAGGTATTAGAATGTCATTGACATTTATTCTTCATAGAGAGATCATTTATTTTACAAATTATTACATGTGTGATGAGGGTTCTCATGGTTTTGGGCTTATAATAGGGATGTCAGAAAGAGTTCCAGGAACAGATATCTCATTTCAATATTTCTACTTCTTCTCTTTTTTTCTTTTCATATGAAGCCCAACTTGTCTAGTAAAAACATTACAAATAAGTAATAAGAGTAGAATATTCATGTTCTTATCTGCCATGTTCCTTTAGCAAATCAATATTTCATAGGTTCTTACAGTTCTTCCCATATTGCTCTTCCCATAAGGTTTATATGAAACTTCCTAACCCAACTCACATCTATTCATTTCATTGTCACTTTAGAAAAGAAGGGGTCCAGCCAAGATGGTTTGAGCTACATCAGATACCCAAGACCCACAGAAAGTAACTTCCCCTTATCCCTTGAATTCAAGGCATGCTTGAGCCTTTACTTTAAAAAATAGCATAAAAAGATTACCACTGGCTCAAAGAACCAACTATATTTTACATTTTAAACTTAGGGGAAGAAATACCTACAACACAATTTTTTTGAATGGAGCAATATGGTAGATTTCATGGAATACTATACTGTCAGTATACAAGCTGGTCTCATGTAGCATCTGTCCCCAAATGGCTTTACAGTTAGAACTAACATATAAAATTATCCTTAGGAAAATAAGATGCAGAGTAATAAAAATGAAAATTTAATTTTTAGAGCTGCTACAGCTGGAAATTGAACTAAAACATTTTATGAAAGATTTTTATTTCAACCAAAGGCTTTCTTCTGGGATTTTGTTTAGCAGAAACCATATGTAAGACTTGTTGAATAATTTTGTTAATAGCCTTTGCTTTTCTGACACTTATATTTAATACATACACTTTGATCTAACAGTAGAAGAAGCTAGAAAAGGATAGGAATAATGTTGACTATTTTTTCCTTCCAATAGACTTCCGAATTTGGCTTACAGTACTTAAACATTCATTAATCCCAATCATTTCTGTCTCTCATTGATACCTCTGTTACATAAACCTCTCTGTTGGCAATATGTCCAACTGGCATTACTTTATGCTATGTCTCCAAGTTTAATGATCTTTCTTGACTAGGACAAATTTCAATCTCTTAGAACAGATCCAAAATCTTCTAGGATCAAGTCCAGTACCATGTTTTCATATTCGTCTCAGTTTTCCCTCTCTTTATTCTCATAGCAGCTGAATTTGAGCTCCAATCTCTTGCTAAATGCTTTTCTTCAAGATTCTCCTGCTGGCACTAGCCTTAGCCTCTGCCCCTTAATTGTCTTCTATTCATCCATGCAGACCCAGTTTCTAGGGGTCAGAGGCATGGCGCAGGGGGTAGTGCCAGACAATGAGCCAAAGCATCAGATAATGAGTTCTAGTGCTGGTCTCAGACCAAAAGGAAAAAAATTCAACCTCTAATCTGCATTCATTCACTATTATCAACATCCTATTCATATGCTTAAGTTCTAAGTTTTAAAATGAGAAAATTCTGTTAGTGGTGAAAAATGAGAAAAAGCATTGATTCATCTCAATCGCATATTTTAGGATAGCTAGCTGAACATTAATGTTCTAAAATTCTAAAGTTTGCTGTGGCTTTGAATTTTTGTAATATTATGTCATAAGTCACTAGTATGATTTCTATACTCTTAATAATGGTTATAAAAATGAAACAAGGAGCAGGAAGCCGGTGGCTCATGCCTGTAATCCTAGCTATTCATGAGGCTGAGATCTGAGGATCTCGGTTTGAAGCCAGCGTAGGCAGCAAAGTCCACATGAAACTCTTATCTCAAACAAATGACTCAAAAAGCCAGAAGTGGCACTGTGACTCAAGTGGTAGAGAGTTAGCCTTGAGCACAAAGAGGCTCAGAGATGGCACCCAGGCCCTGAGTTCAAGCCCAGGGCTGGTATGCTATTTTGTGGGGAGAAGGAGAAAAAGACATGATAGGGAGGTGAGGTAAGTTACAATATGGCACAAACATTTGTGGAGATGTAGCAATAAAATCTCTCCCTGTATAAACATATTTTAAAAATATAATTTTAAAAATGGGAAGGATAAGAAAAAATGTGGAGTGGAGTTGTTTTGGTTTTGTTTTTTTATATAGTAGTCCTACACATTATGCTTAGGATCTTGTGCTTGCTAGGCAGATGCTCTACCACTTGAGCCATTCCTTCTGACCAGAAGGGATAAATTTGATCAAAGCAAATTCTATATATGCATGGAAATGTCACAATTAAACATCTTGGTACAAGGACCACCAATAAAAATAAAATAAAATAAAATTTCAAAGCCATTTTGACCATGCTTAGATGGCAGTAGTAAAAATGATTAGTATTTTTAATTTACCTGTACCTGATAATTACAGTATCATACAATGGAGTAGCTCATAAAATCTAAAATATACATTATTTGATTTGATCCTTACTACAGACATGTGGTTTAGTTCTATGTGGAGGAATCCATGTCTGAAGGACTTAAGAAATAAAACAGAGACAGAATTCCATTCTTTGGTGTCTGAAAGCCTTTCTTTTTGCTGGTCCCTTTCCCCTAGTACTCATACCATCACTTCCAGTGCATACTTACATTTCATCACACCATGGATTTCATAAACAGGCTTGAGAGTCAGAGTGCCGTAAAAGTCTTTAGGAAATGGATTTGCTGAGGCCCATTTATCAGAAAAATCTGTAAGTTTCACCGTTCGTGTTCTGTTCTTGGGAATCTTCCATTCGACAATCTCTTTTAGAGTATAAATATGCTCATCTTCACACTCATAGAATTCTCCTTCTTGTGTCAAAGGCAAAGTAAATGAATGACTTTGATGATTCCTTACTATTCCACAATTCACCATCATTTCTCCATCAATTTCTTCAACTGAGCTGAGCATGATTGGCTCATCCTGCTTGATGGTGAGATTATCTAGTCTTACATCCTTCTGACAATAGAAGCAAGGATGCCCTAATCTAGTAGGTCCAATATGAATAGTTCTTGTAATTTCTTCCATAGTGAGGTATGGAGTTTTATCAGCCATGATCTGAAAGAGACCTAAACACAAAATAAATATAAAATAAATAAAGAATATCTTTAATAAGGAATGCCCCATTTTTTGAAGATTTTAGTATGGCTTATTTTTCTAGGTAAAATGACAGCATACTCTTTGGAGATTACTAGATCATCAACTCAGAAGCACAAATGACAACAAATGAGCAATACCTTAAAGTAGAAAATGCCTATTCTTGGAAATAGGAGAGATATTAGTTCTGAGTCAACTGACAATGTGATTCCAAAGAAGGTAATAAAACAGTTAAGGTCACATTTTTAATTTTAGAAAGAGACTTTTTAAAAAACTCAAATGACCTTTGACTCTTAAAGAGTCAATATTCCATTCAGAATTCACCAATTTCTTTCATTATAAAACTCTTCAGCAGGAAGTGGCGCTGTAGCTCAAGTGGTAGAGCGCTCGCCTTGAGCTGAAGAGCTGAGGGACAGCGCCCAGGCCCAGAGTTCAAGCCCCACGACCAAAAAAAAACAAAAACAAAAACAAAAAACCAACAAAACAAAACAAAACAAAAACCCCAAACTCTTCAGCAATGCACATATGCAAAAATAACACAATATAGTATAATATTATAATCCTTCTTGGAAAAATGGCCAGTCAAATGGTTGTCTGTTTTGAATGATTTTGATAGCATGTCATTCCTTGTTTGTATTCATTTTCTATTTTTCCATTACATTTTTCACTACTTCACAAATTTCCATTTAGCTAATTTTACTCTTAGAAATTTTCTTTAATGCTGTTGGCATCAAATGCACATTTATTATTAAGGAAGTAGCTTTTTATAGTTGCAAGTTAATAGTGACATGCATAAGTGTTTCTCCTGGTTGAACTATTTTCTTTTCATTCCAGTGCACATCTGCTTCACGTCATTCTCAGAAAATTATTTATTGAATGGATTTTAATAAATTCCAGAGAAAACAAAAGGAAAAGAAAAGTTAATTGCTTTCTCAAACAAAAGGTAAATTAATGAAAATAGTATCTACTAGCATGCTGTAAGAAGATTGTGTAATTTAAAAACTTACTTGGATAAGATAGCTTGGAGAAATCATTTATTAGTTTACCCAACAAATTCACTCTAAGTAATTTATATATCTAATTATTTATTTATTAGATCATAGTACTTTCTATGCTTATTTGTAGTTACTGTTCAAACACTTCTAAGCAGTTGTTTTTAAAGCATGTTTTTCTCATAACAGAATTTGGGTTATGGTTAGATATATAGAGTTTTAGTGACCCAGTCCTAACAGGGAAAAGGCAGCACATGAGACCTGTCCCAAAAACCTTTAGAAAATGAAAAGTGTCCATCCAGTACATGATGTGCTTCACAAAAAGAAAGAAAAGAAGCACTGACATTGAAATAATTTCTTATTGTATTATGTATTATATCAGGGAAAATGCCACAAATAATAATCTGGAAAAGTAGTCTTTGCTGCAGTGGATGTATTGTGTATTAGAGAAGATGCATGTGTGTGTGTGTGTGTGTGTGTGTGTGTGTGTGTATACACGTGTGTGTGCACATGCATGGGCATGCCTAAGAGTTTAATTTGTAGTGTGTATAGATTTATTTCTAAGAGCCCACAGTCATTACCACAAAACAGAAAATTCATAAATGTCATAAATATAGAAACACATATTTTTATTTCTATTTTTTTACTTCTATTCCAGCTATATTGGTGAAATAACCCACAGAAGAACTAATTCGTGTTTCCTATTTTGAGTTATAGAATTTACTTAAGGTAATAATGGCCTTAACATAGAAGTAGAAAGACCCTGAAACTCTAAGGGCCACTATTACTCCAAGTTACTCATGCTCCTCAGTGCTGTCTTGTTGGATATCTCTATTGAAAGAAAAATGCATGCATGAATTAGTGTGTTTTCTCTTAAAAGATAATGTAGTACATAGTTTAGCATACCAATTGACAGAATATAGGAGGAAAAACCAGTTGACCGTCTCACTTGCTTCCAGCCAATACTAACAATCCTTCCTCATAAACAGGCTTTGTCCACCATGTATTCTAAGGTAAACTTCTGAATATGCTGATGCATTGTAAGTTCAATTTTACATTGCAGAAATGTAAAGATAAACTAAAGCACTACCAAGACTGATCTGCTCAAAATCTGGCCAATTTTTCATCCTTACCACAGAGAATATAATAGATTAAAATCGGAAAAATACTCTTTATCACTTAATTATATTTCTGATGAATATCAAAACACTTTATGGGAGTTGAGTCATTATGAGATTTATTCTCAAATAACCCTGTATGTAATCTTTGTAAGTTAAAAGCTTAAAGAAAATAGATTTGTATTTCTACTTTGGATTGTTACCTGCTAGGGTGAGTTTCATTGTTAATGCCAAATTAGAAGAAAGTATTAATAAAGAATGTCACTTAAGAAATAAAAATCATAAAAAGTGAAATTATATTCTTGAAAATTAATTAAAAAGGAACTTATTAGGTCTTTTTCTTAAATCTTAGTTTTGGAGAAATTAGTATTTTCAACCAATTCTTAGTGATTTACAATCATTATTAGTCATATCTAATATTTGTGCATCATGTATGTTCATAATAATGAAACATTATTTCTGGGAAATATGAAAATTTTTCAATGTCTTCTAATTATGACTCTAAATTGTTCAATCAGAACTTGGACATCTGTATAATACATTTTGCCATTATGCTCAGCTGCCTCTCCATTACACATGACTCACAAGACAGAAGAACATGTTTATTTTGGTTCATAAAACTATTACCCTTCTTTGCATTCATTAGGGAAAAAAGGCCAGAAGTGTGGTTCAAGTGGTAAAGTGCCTGCCTTGCAAGCATAAAGACATGAATTCAAGCCCAGTGCCATAAATAAAACACAACACCATAAAGCAACACCTTAAAAGCTTTCAGCAAAGTGCTGGCACACTCAATAATGTCCACGCTATGACAAAATTACCCAGATTTCTGAGTCAATTAGGGGCTATTGAACACCATCAACTAAAAACAAGTTTGTTAACTTGTAGGTAAGACTTAGCCAGGCTACAGATTTCCTATTTTCAAATGTCTTTCCATTAATAATTTAATTGCAACTGTCTATAATAACTATTAATGGTGTGTGTGTGTGTGTGGCAGCTCCTTCACTTGGAGGAAAAAAGAATACATCGTAAAGTCTTGTCATTTATTTTTATCTCTTTGGTTCAACCTTGTATGGAATAACCAAAAGAAAACACCTCTTTCTCAATGACATATAAACTCTTGGAAAGGTGATAACACATTTGAGATGTTTAACAAATAATCTCCATTAATAAATGTCAGCTCTTGAAATCAAATAACATAACCCAATAAAACTCGGTTGTAAGCACAGCTTATTAATAAAGGTAGAATCATAGGTGCTCATGTTAAAGCTCCTTTTCTCTCAAGCTGCAACAAGAATAACAGAACAGATGAGGACAGAGGATCTTCCCTGTCTTCTCATCATCCTTGGTAAGTGGATAGCTCCTGGCCTCTCTGCAGTCTGTGCTGTCCCTTGTGTGGCCCAAAGATGCATTGTGGCCACAGTGCTGGAAAGAACCTCCACTGACCTTTGATGCCTCTCAACCTCTCATTGAGCTTTGTCAGGAGGATCTTGAAAATATCACAGCATTACTCCTGCGGGCCACAGGTGACTTTGGGCATTGTAATTTCCAGGATAAGGGGATTCTAACTACGCCAACAGAAGAGTAGGTGGTGAAGAGTATGTCCATTCTGAAGGCCTCCTTTCCATTCTGGTCTCAGCCCTTTCCTGCCTATGTAAAAATGAAATCTGAAATTCTCAGAGCTAGTTCCAAAATGTAGAAGAAATGACATCACCTTCTTAGATCATTGTTATAAATAAGCCAACACGTGTAACATGTTTAGTTAATACCCAGTGAACAGTCCCCTCAAAAAGTACAAAAAAGAAAATCTGGCAGTTTTCTGTCTCTGTCTTCATTTTCCTGCACTCTTGCACTCTTGTGCCATTGCTTATAAGGTCAGAAAAGATTATAAGGTCAGAAAGATTAATCCCACTAGAACTTCACTGCCAAATAGGGAACATTGGATATTCAGTTCTGGATCAAATAGAGGAAACAAAATATATGTAATCTACCGCTCAGTCTCTGACAGGAATTGAGCCAATTTTCTCAGCAATGATCATTTGCACCAATTTTACCACCATGTTTGAAAATGGAAATGAGTCTCAGGTGACCTCTTCATGTGGACTACCTTTAGGTAGTATCTGTAGGTTGTTTTGAGGAGTTTGACCCCATGCTTTGATAAATGACAGAATTTAACCACCATAATTGTATGCCCATAATAAGTAGACTGGATACTGGATAGGGAGAAGAAAAGATGTAAGCACATTTAAATGCAAATACTGTGCTGGCTGTGGTTATTCACAAGGTATATATTATACACAGTTACTGAAGTTCTCATGAACAAAAGAAACTGCAAAATACTGAGGTATTTTTGAAAGTGTGTTTTATTCGTGACTCTGAAAGGTAGTTGAAGCCATCAGAGGGAGGAATATAACCCTCCCTCTATTTTAATGATCTTAATTTGCTAATGGAATGTTAGTACAAAGAGTTTGGGAGCCATGTGGAGCTGATTGTGTTGTTCGGTATTGATGTTGCCTGCAAATTAAATGTACCTAAGTAGCCACCTGTTTATGCTTATGATTATGTAAAGCCCCATATGTTTCCTTCTCTACACATGGGAGGTAAATATTGAAAAAATTACTCTGGTGTGAAGGGTGAAAACAGCAGCAATTCTTTTATAGCTGTCAACATATGCTGTGGCGTTTCCTTGTGATGTTGTGCTTTGTCTGACATATTTGCTGATTTTTGCTATGCAACATTCAAAAAAATCTGTTACCCAGGGTTATACAAAACAATTAAAAATCAGTTTGCATTAAATTCAAATTAAGAAGAGGTATAATTTTCCAATGTAACCATAAGTTTTAAATGGATTTCAGAGCTTATGAT